GGATTTATTGATCGATGTGAAGTCGAATATGAAGGACATGGATGTACGAGTGCAATCAGTTGCCCCGACTTGCACTTCCTCATTTAATAACAGTGTGAAGCACTTGAAGAGGACTCGACCGTTATCGTTTTCCCAAAACACTCGCTCAATCCAGTGCCCACTCTCTATAGCATCCATAACATGACGATACCATAGAGTCTCATTCATGGTATCAGTGGAAAGTTGAAGATCATTTACCGTTAACGAGGCCAATGATGGTTTCCCCATTGACGGTTTTGAGATCAGTGAAGTTGAGTCCTGTGGAGGGCGCTTTGGTGACGACGTCGCGCAACGAGACCGAAGCAGTCTTGAATTTCTCAATTTCCCGATCCGCGTCTTTTCCAAAAGAATTTCTCACTGACGGCTTTGGGCAGATGGTGAATGCTGGAGCCGGGACCTTCTCAACACTCTCTGTCATGTACAACGTCGTTGTCGGGAAGGAAATATACTCCTGGATCATGAGGACCACCTACACTTTCCCGACAGGATATTACATTGCATCACAATAGGATCGATTCAAAGTTGTATGCACTTTGCTTACCCATACCTGCTTAAGAGCAAGGGCTGCACACGCCACAATCACGATGGACTTAAGAAGCCGCTTTTTCCCTCCTCTCTTTGCATCTTTGGGAGAATGACATTTTCGCCATCGCAATAAGCCTTTAATGAGAATAGAATATTAGAATGAACTCACCTTTATCTTCGGGGTCCCCAGCGAGTAGATCATGAGGCATATTTTCTGTTATCCAAGGCTTGTGGGGAATACTGCATGTATTCATTTATATATTTTGAGATTCACTAAGTGATCAGATACACATCTAATACATATAGACGATCGTGACTGACTGACGCTAATTCTAACCATGTTCTAGACATGCTGAGAGGCTGAAACTTGGTACACACATAGCTGTTAGATTGCTGACTCCAGAAAAATTCCAACTTTGGGGGTAAGTGCCCTGGGGGCTCATTCCAGGGGGTCTCATTTTGNTGAAACTTAGCACACGTATAAATGACATGACATTGCTAAGCTGAGGGAGTATTCAGGTTTCATGGGGCATCCCCTCCGGGCATAGCTTTTGGGTGGGTCGGCTTTTCCAAGCATGTTTTTTCACCAGCGAAAAGGGCAAACGTATAATATTGAGACTTTGCTGGCACCGGGCAGACAGAAAAGTAGCTGGCGCACGCATCACTGAAATGATGTTGATTTAAGGAAAAATTCAACTTTTATTTATACGTCTCCTCAGAGCACAGCTTTTGGGTGGGTCGCTTTTCCAAATACTTTTTTTTCCGCCAGCAAAAAGGGGAAACGTATAAGGCTGAAACTGGGTGGCATGGAGTTCCCTGAGTCTACATTTCAAAAGAAAAAACATTTTCTTTAAAGCCCATTATACCACTTTTTTCAGTCCCATTTTCCTCATTTTTTTCATCTAGAGGCAGAAAATTTAAACTACCTTCAAAAGTTCCTATTTGATGGCTGAATAGAGGAAAAATTCTAATTTTGAAATATGTCTCCTTAGCGTCGATTATTGGAGGGAAGTACTTCAAAATGTGTTCTCCATCCTTAGAAGAAGGGACACAAGGAAATATTTCAGGTTAGGCACACATATAATCATAGAGGTAATGACTTTGATAAAAATCAAGACTTTCGACTCCATATGTCACGTATTTCAATGGGGACGTACTTCAAATACGTGTTTGCCATTTCGAAAAGAATAAATGAAATAATCACTATCCAAGGTAATAGAGCGCCGAAGGCACGACCATAGCGAGTTTGTTTGCCCGAAGGGCAAACAAACTCGCTAGTTAAATCTATTCTGTGACACTTGTGTTTCGATGGCAATGGTAGTTCAATAGTCTAAAGTCTTGTAAATTACTTTTCCTTTAGAGTAAGTGGTTATCCTACTCTCTGCAGATGTGACAATTCCCCGATCTAAGAGAGTCACTCTCCACAGTCTTATTGCTTTCCTGAAAAGAATTGACATGCGTTTTGACAAGAGCCATGAACTGCTCCCGGGGTACATAGGGATCCCCTAGGGGGACATCCACCTGGTTCCAAATCCACAGGGGGATTTGTTGTGTTTGGGAACCCAAGCGAATACCGCCTGCCACGGGTAGGATTCGATCACATCCTAGCTGGGGACACAATTCACCGAGCGAAAGTCTCAAACAAGCAGCACGGAAAGGGCAACCACTATAGCGTCACTCAAATTATTCCACGCGCTCGCCCCCTATAAAGTAAAGGTGTTCTGTCGTAACCTGCGCCTCACCTGGGGTTTAAGAAACGTGAGGTGGTTCCCTCATTCGTTGCTGCCATTGAACTGGGAAAAACTACCACGCTCTACCTTATCGATTTCCTTAACGATCTGAAATAGTTGGATGTGGTCCTTTCTCGTTAGATTCCAGTTCCCTCCCATTGTTATAGAAATTCCATTTGTCGATGCCAATTGTATTCCTGTCAGCTTGTTGCGTTTGCACGGTCGTTTGCATGCTTACATTTATATTTAGTTTCTTTCTTTCACCTTGGGGATAATTTTTACGTGTCCGCATGTTATTCATTATGGCCCTTCACCTGGTAGTATAAACACACTTCGTCAGTACGAAAGACTGTCACGACCAAATTGTACAGTATGAGCGTGTACACGAGAGAGTTTCACACTTTTGAGGCACGAAGCGGAAATATCAATTGAAAGAGTGACGATTGATCGCCCTTGTGAGTGGCCTATGCATCAGATATATGCTAAAATGCTGGACTTCGCCAATATGCAGTCTAGACTGAAGCGAAGTGAAAATATGGGGGTAATTCAGAGGACTCGGGCTCAGCTAATTAGAAAACAATGAGAATCAGTTCTATAGCCGATAATGCGAGGTCATTTTCACGAGGATCTGGAGATGATCCTCCAGATCATCTAGTCGGCATTCCGTCGCATCTTCGTCGAGGAAGCAGAATTTCGTCTTTTTCATCATTTCATCTAAAGCGCCAGGCATACAGGGCTATGCCTCTCCAGGCCATAGTCTAGGGCCTAGACTCTAGACCATAAAACGTTGGCATACTTCTACTTTTAAAAGGCTCACCTTTTAGATGGCTATTATGAGAGGGTGTGAAGGCTCCATGAAGTAAAAAAATGATAACGTAATCCCTTTGTATCATATGTATCACCTCCCCTCAACATTGACAGTGATAATCTTCGCGATGGTGTGATTGAACGCGAATAAGAAATGTTGGTGGAGGCTGCAAGGGACGGCAGTGAGGCAGTCGACGCAAAATGAAACGATTCGAGTTGGCGCGGAAAACACATTTACCACAGCTGCAGAGGTGTGAACTGCAGAAAACGTTGCATTGGGAAATGCTAGCCGTGGTGGTCATTGGGCTAGAATGAATGATGAACAGCAAGCAGTTGCGAATGCTGCACGTAGGGGGCGTAGGGTCGCGCAGAACAGCGGGAGACAGGGAAATTTGAGTGCAGGAATGGGAGTGCCGTGCAGCCTATTGAGCAATTTGAGGCAAGGAACGCAGCGCCCAAGCGTCTCAAGAATGCCAGGCTACGGCCGAAATTGAACCTGGGCCTCCTGATCGCCGGTCAAGGCGTTTACATTTGAAAACACACCTGCGTCGTCGAGTCACGTTGTCTGTCGTGTGTATGAAGGATTGTTTCCAATGTGGTCGATTCCAATTGAAAGAAGTTTGAGAAAATGACTAATTTCGAAGCATGCATTAAAAGCAGACTTTCTCAAATTTGGACTCCCTCTATCAACAATTCTATTCTAGGCCATAGTCTACGTAAACCATGGTCTAAAGCGCTACGCTTGCAAGGCTCTGTCATTCTAGGCCATAGGCCATGGCGATTTATAGCGTAGGCATCATTCAGCATAGGCTTCATTCTCAACGGTGTCGGATTATTGATTGACGCAGCTTACTGCGAATGCGTGTCGAGTTTCCACTAAACCATTTACCGACTGCAGGTTATCCACTCCAATACAATCTCGGTTGTCACGTTGTTTCACACTGAGTTTTCCCGGTGAATGAAGTCAAAAGTAATAAAGTAGAATCATATATTTCAATGTCGTGCAAACGGCCTGCTCCTCCCGTCTTTGACGGTGACGTTCTTCAAGATGAAACGATTAGTGCTGGTGGGGAAAACTCATTTGCTTCTGCAGATGCGGTGCGAACTGCAGGAAACCGTGCTTTGGATAGTACTAGCCGTGGTGGTCGTAGGGCTAGAATGAGTCAGGAACAGCGGGAGGCAGTGAATGCTGCACGTAGGGAACAGAGGGCCGTGCAGACTGAGGAACAGCGGGAGGCAGTGAATGCTGCACGTAGGGAAAGTAGGGCTGCGCAGACTGTGGAACAACGGGAAGAAACGAATGCTGAGAGCAGGAATTTGGAGAGCCGCCCAGCCGGGAGCGTATCAAAATGCCGAAAGCTATTCATCGAAATTCATATCGCCGAAAACTCGAAATGTCGATTAATCAAATGGACGAAACTCTAAACATTGAATAAATTGGCCGAAAACACATTTCGCCGAAGCAAAATCTTTTCGATGAAAGCTGATTTTCGTTGAAAGATTGAAATGCCAGAATATACCAATTTTTGAATCGTGGTTTTCATTGCAAAGTCAAGGTCAAATGGTCGAATGTGAAAGACATGGATATTTGCACTCATCTCAAAGGTAAACATTATAGGAAAGACCTCTCATGAAAGACATATTGCAACGATCCCCATAGGTACGCGTGATTGTCAGAATTCTGTTGTTCTTGTCAATCTCTGCTTTCTTTTTCCATGGAATGTGGCCCGCTTCCAACTTCAAATTGACATGCTCTGTCACCGAATGTTCTACTTTGAGCTGTAACGAGAATGCATAAAAATGCATGTGCTTTCCAAATAATGACGATGCCCGTCTTTGCCATGCCTCAAGATTGTTTGTTGTTCGGGGCTCACTGGAGAGGGTTCGATCTCGAACATTCTACAGCTGCGGTGGATCGACAGTCTCATTTCTGGCTCTGCTCCGTCGTCTTCTTCCATCGACGTAAGTTTCCCGGAAATACTGCACAACAGGTTTGGCTTCAGATGGCATGGTTGCTTCCAATTCAACAAATACTTTCTGGACGTCTTCCACTGGAACGAAGGAGAGACATGTCATCATACGAATCTTTGTCAAAGTCATCATCTTCTCTGTAGAGCTGAGTTAGGCCCAGTTCTTGAATTTTCCGCCGCATGCTCTGGCAGAAATGATAGAAACAGGCCTTGTGCCTAATGTGAGGGAAGTCATGAGCCATGGCTGCAACTACTCCCGATTCAAAATCTGAGCAGAACGTTTGTAAAGAAGGGAACCTGATAGGGCATTGATGATGACTTGGAAAGCAGAAGTATAAGTTTGTCTGGTCTTGTCTAGTAGTAGGAGGTAAGCAAGAGGGATTGCTGAATTGCTGTCATTGCTGAATCCAATCGATTGGAGTTCATCAGACAAAATCAAAATCAGCTTCGGATTGAGTGCTATCAAGGCTTGGCCGATCACATCGCCAATGTCGCTCTTGAGCAGCACGCAACATTTGGCAACATTTTCATTCTCCTTCGTCATTCATTGGTAGCCCGCGTAACATGCAGAAAAGTACCAAGACGCAATGGCAATTGTGCGCAAATACGGCCGCCCGGATATGTTCATCGTTTTCAATTGTAATCCGAAATAGGTCGAAATAGGCTCAGAATTGGGCGCCAACCATGATGCTTATTCGCGCCCAGACATGGTCGCAAAGGTATTCGAGTTGAAGGTGCAGGAGTTTCTAAAGACATGGTGCAGAACGGAATTTTCGGCATGGTGGTAGCCTTCATCTATGTCATTGAATTCCAAAAACGCGGATTCGTCTACATCTACGTCATCTACATTCGGAGCCCGTTTTCTCTCACGGTCAGCTATATTTTGCGTGCTCTCGAGTCCGGTCTGCCGATTGCCTAAATATCCAAGTGGTCGATGGGCAAAGACAAGGCTCGACCGATAATGGCGTTTTAACCGACAATGTCGTGTACAAGGGAGTGTTGTAGATTTCAGCTTCCTTTTTTCCTATCAAACTTTGTGTCATTGATTTCAATTTCAGAATTATATTTGCCGTAATTTCTTCGACTAATCTTGCAAGTATTTCAGATATTTTCTCATGGATTTCCAAAATGAACAAATTTCTCATTTGTCACTTTTCGAATTTTACATAGGATGAATCATAAATGGAAAATACATTCATTCGTGATTTACCATCGTGACCTCACCTCACAAATAATAAAAATTTCCTGGTCGGCAACACTTTTGAAGTACTCGAGGTTTACTTGAAAATGTTTGGTATGAACCGAAATGATTCATATCTTTGTAAGCATGTTTAAATTTTCCTCCGTTAGACGTCCAGCGTAGCGGCCGCAGGCCGCTAGTATTGATATATACAGTATATATTTTTTTAAATCTCACTCCTTTCCAAGTAGAGTCCTTCTCATCAAAACACTATTAAAAGAAGGCGAGCGATAACTCCAGTTTTCCTCTTGTTTTGTTCACTTTCTCATTCTTACCCCTGAACAGCAAAAGGAAATAAAAATTGGAGGAAATTTCCCATTTTCACTCTCTTCATAGTAAAAAGAGGTTAAGGCTTTCATGTGTGAACCACACCCAATATTAGGCTTTTCACTCAGTAGTAAAAAAGGTAGACTCTGCTTCGAGCTCGTGTGGAAAATTCCACGAACTTCGAGGACTTTGGTATTGCTTTTTTGAATGAGTTCCTTAGTGTTCTTAAATATTCCTACTTAGATATACGACCCATTCCCAAAAGCAGTTCTCCCTGGAGAAGTGCTTCTGGGAATGGGTCCAGAGTCTCCGCTACTCACTGGAGGAATATTCGCACCCTCACGCTATTTCACTCATCCTTGTAGTAATTCTATTCGTAATTTTCGCTGGACTAATATTGTTCCAGCTGTAGCTCTCATCCAGGATCCAGGATGATCCCCTTCCTGCTCAGTTTCTGCATGACCAGAACAATTTAGCATCCCTCTTCAGAGGCTGCTGGTAATATTGCACAGCTCCACTAGAATTGAATTGCCAGAGATTGACTTTAGGGAGGGAAGAAGGGAGAAGACCGAGAATGAACTTTCTGTGCTGAAAAATTGGCTCTGTCTGAAGTTCCTCGGCCCTTTGTCTGCAATGCACGAATGACTCTTGAACAATAATTATCGTTTACTGAAATGGAAGAAGTCTACAGTCTGGACGGTTTGCATGGCGCCACAGGATACATTTTGGCACCCATGAATTTGTTTTTAGGGATTGAACGCGTCCATGACATGTCCACGTGAAATGTCCACATGACTGGGGAATTGGTTTTCCCTCAGACTTCATTTTCTCTCCACCCATTCTCTCTAATGTACCCTGTTTCTAGCTCAAGACATCGACTAATAGTTTACTTTTTCTCCAATGAGAGAGCGTCTATAAAAATGTCGTTCATAGTATATTTCACCAAGATTGGCGAAGTGTTCCAGAAAGTTCTGCGAGAACAGCACAAAATGATAGCATCCATTTTTTCCCTTCAATTGTTCTCTTCTTAGTTGTTCAGAGTGAGATCTTGTGACGTACCGCCCTCTTGGTGTATTGAATGTTTGCCCAAGAACCAAGCCAAGAAGAGTGCTGGCGTTGTTTTTCTTTAAATCCATGGTTGCAAAAGGTGTTGTTTCTTGTTCTTATCTTGCACTTGAAAAAAAGACATTGAATGGGAGGTCCCTCACAAGATATATCCCCTGTTTATTGATCCGAGACATGTGTGTCTGAAATTAGATTGATATCTCACTTGATTGCAAGCACCAGTCGATTGACCTCAGGAATACGTGAATGTTTCACGAGTAATTGCTAGTTATGAATTACTATTTTTGAGTCATACCTTTATTGACACCCCATAGGTTTAATAGGTTCACCGATTTCTGACGCCTCAAAGCCCCGAATAATGAAGTCAGGAGTCATTAGAACGCTCGAGCCACGGATGCATCCGACCAGGTGGAAAATATTTATTTCTGTAAGGTTGTGTAATACTAGGGGAACTTTCAGAATCGGTGTCCATGTCCTGGAAGAATGACTCAATATCACTCAGCAATACTTACCAGTCAGAAAAAAACTCATTGGAACTTACTAGGGCTATGTCTATTTTTTTCCCCAAGAAAAATTACAATTCACGACTTTCCAGCCAAGTTGGCTCATGTAAAGTGCATCTGAGGGTTTCCGGACGTTTCGGAACGGAGTGCGACGCTGGGCCCATGACAATAGGGTAGGTGAGACAAATTCCGACCCTGCCATAAAATCCGTCCCCTGCATCACATAATTCAACTTAACAAGAAACCCAATCTCGGGAAAAGTTGGTTTAATGTAGTTACACGAGGGTTCATGCAGGGGGCACGGTCTTTGTATTAGAGCGGTAGTCACTGTCAAATCGCTCTCTGTCATTAGCATGAATGCATGGATGGTTGGAATGCACTCGGGTTAATGTGAAATTCCTTATAAAATTTTAAAGATATTCTAGGAGGTTGGAAAAATGAAAAACACAGCATGCATGGAGAAATCACGTCGAGCATCCATTTCCATAATAATGCACTAAATGCGTTGCCATAATGAGCGAAAATGAAGAAAAGAGGACTGAAAATATCATGTCATGTCATCTTGATCAACACAAGTGGATTCTGCAATTGTTGTCCGACCAATCCTCAGCCTACGCATGAGCAAATACACCAGAAAATGAGTTAAACCACTATGAAGCATATTTCTCTCAATGTTGCATGATTACCTTATATGGGGAACAAATAATGTATTTAGCAGGTAATCAAAATACCTTCTAAGAAATCCCTGACATCCTTCCTGTCTATGTCAGTGAGAGCCTTCAGGAAAACGGGGTAGTGTAGTTGTGGATTCTTGCACATGAGAAGGTCAAAGAGCTCATCAAACTGCTGTTTGGGGGTTGGTTTCCCACGTATCTGCTGCGCCTCGATGAGCGTGAAGACGCCCTTGTCGCTCAAACTACGCAGCAACTCGTGGAAGTCCAAGTTTAACTCATCTCGTAGCCTCATACGGTTCTCCCTGATCCTGCGCCATGTTCTCTGTGAAGAAGGAACAAGTCACATGACTACAATGCATATCATCACCATTAAAAACTTCTCCTATAGCGTGCCCACTTAATTCTGCAATCACAAAACAAATAAGATATTTTTAAAAATGAAAGTAGAGTCATTTTCCAATGGATTCATAGAACTTGTGTTTCAGAATTACGATATAGTTAACCGAATGGGCAATATATGTCTTCATGAAGCTGAGTTCTACCGTCACGCTTATAAATGTTGCAGAAAAACTAAATCATCATTAAACATGTTACTAGACAGGTTAGGTTTCCTAATAAATGATAATATTTTCAAGAAAATCAGGAAATATTGTTGTGAATTACGTCATTTTGTAAAATTTGCAAATATAATGAAGTCTTTTAGCCGATATCACACGAGATGTCGCGTAAGTCGGGGACCACGGTATAATGAACATTAATTGGTACGGAGCGCCCCTCGTGCCGATTTACTTCTACAGAACAAAGGCAAGAGCAGGATCCTGATTTTCCTGGTAGAGAAACAGCTGCATCAATGGTTACGTGATAGGAAAACATTTAATTTCACAACGTAGGTAATTACGGAAAATCCACATCGCGTCTAGTTTAAAATTATTAAAGAAAATGTAGTTTGTAATCATTTCAGTTTTCGAGCAAATTGGCCCATTTTCCTGTCCTTAAAGCATATTTGCGCCGACGAGGGTTATTCTTGGGTAAATTCAACTTGTATCTCAACTATGCAAATAAAAATGCAAATTTTAATAGCGATCAGGGCGGTAAGGAATGAATAGAGTGTGAAACCGGAAGAAGTTTATGGTGCACAATACACAACAAGCATTCAGACTTTTGCGTGATTGTGTGAAGGTCTGGCTTATTTCATTATTAAAAGGATTTGCAAGTAAATGGTTGGAGAACGCCATGCTCACCAAAGGAAGCAAAATTTGCAAAATGAATGTCGTTCCAAGTTATTTATTTTTTAAATAGAGATATTGACTCATTTTGCAGAGTTTCTGTTGATCACAAGTACACACTGGACTGAGGAAGTATTGAGGTTCATGGTGACGTTGTTAGGTTATAATAAAAATGTCATTATATATTACATGTTCCGTTCACGCTTCTTGCGTCGAACTAAACTGAAATATTACACGAATTCAATACATGGCATGATTACAGCTTATTTTAGCCTCGCATTTATGAGCGAACGTGAGATCAGCTTACCGAAGGACCAACGGCTTGAGCTGCTACTCCCTGAGATGCCAGCGACGAACCTCCCTCCCATTCTGCGCGAAGACAGGAAGGAGATATGTTATGCCGCAAAAGTTGAGCGATGTATCCTGCCATCTCGATGTAAACAAAATCCGAGTTGGAAATCATGTAAATATCAATTGCAATCATGTTCCTCTTACTGAACCCTATCTACCAATGGTTTCGGATGGATAAATTTTTATTGTGTCTAATACGTTCGGTATCACCTTTTGAAAATGATTTCACTGAAGATGCAAGCACTGACAAATGAAATTCAATTTAGGAAACCAAAAGATTTTGTTTCACGGAAACACGATGGTCTCTCTTCATCCGCCAGTGTTCCATTACGCCTGTCACTCCAGAGAGATTCTCATTTTAGATTCCGTTGTATTTTTCTGGTTTGCATGCCTTTACTTCATTTCTAGCGCTTTTAAAAATTAAGGACACTTCGAATTATATTCGCCAAGCGTCAAAAAAGAAGCGAATCTATTTAAAATATGCATGATTCTATTGGTATTTTAGATCGCAGAGTTCGACAAAAAATTTGATGTGGCGTCACCTGCGCCAAAAACCGCGTATGGAAAGAAACTGCCCCCAAAGATGCAAAATATAATTTTGATTGGAAGATAAAGTGCACAAGAGAAGAAATAATCCCAGAGGAAGTCGGAAATGACCAAATTTTGAATTTGATGATGGTTCAATATGGACATGCCTACAAAAGCTCTTATTCGACATGAACATAGGGCCCACATCTCACATTTGAGATTGAATTATAAAAGGCATGCCAAAAAGGATATATGACTTTTAACCTTAATACCTCAGCAATCTTTGCAAAATTTCATTGTGCATAAATGAACATGTATCCAATTGGTTATCGAATTTCCATCTGAATTCGTTGGGTAGAAGTAATACCATCAGCAATTATTGGCGAAAAAAAAGCATTGAGAATGAAAAAGAGGTCTTGCTGATGACCGAGTGAAGGATACATATCTCACAAAATGTGCTGGGGATGAATGCAGTCGTTTCTTTGAAAGTTAAGAAGGCTTCCAAAATCCTTTACTTAAGGGCAAAGTTAAATATGATCTATGATAAATCTGACATTTAGGGCAATCTGAATGGGCAATTCTTTAGAAAACCCAGATTCATTTTGAATAACTTTGCGGAATCTCCCTGGAGTGATACTTATCATTGATTCACCTGCTATTCATTGGGAATGAGCTTATGAAAACCTTTTGCAAGAGATGACCAGTCCAAATAATGAATTCAAGTGGAAGAAGATTTCGATGTGGTCTTGACGGCCAGAAGGGACAGCGCTTGAGTAATCCTCCACTCCAATGCCAGGAGGAGCTCTTGTCCAATACCAACTTTTTTTTCAGTAATTGCTGGTGGTATCGCTTCAGCCAAGCAAATTGATGATTATATTCTCTGTGAAATTGAAATTGCCCCACCTAGAAGCAGTGGATGGATTCGTCTGAAACGCGGCACATGCGTACGTTGTGGTGATAACTGCCAATGATGAAACCGCCAGACCTGGCACGTAACACATACGGAATTGATAGAGCGGAAACTCAGGTGCCACTGGTCAGTTGGAGGTGCGCGTCCGACTGGCAGTAGTCACACAATACACACGACTCCAAAGGATCACAATACAGTTGTAACGATATAATAAAATCAGTTGGATACACACTCATGTATGCATGGCAAAAGTTGGGCAAAAAGGCTTCATTTGTAGCTGAACTATTTATGGTTAAAAGTATTTGGTCTATTTTTACCGTACATTATAGTCGTTACGTTGGCCCGAAGAGAGTGCGCTATCTGGAATAGTGTCATAATGTTGAGAATGGAAGGCATGTTTAATTCTTAATGGGGACAGTTTTTAATTTGGTAATGGCAGCGAAGGAAACATTGAACCTGTGTCATGAATTTCCTCCTATGCTTCATGAAAGCTTATTTCCACGTTATCGAAGTTCAACACTCTCTTGACTAGCGCCTATCTCCCTTCAAAATCATTTTTCACTCTCTGCCGTTCAATTGGGATCGTAAATGTGTCTTGCATTAAGTCTTGTCTTTTCTAATCGCACACTACGTGTTGACCGAATCGACTGGTATTTATATTAATATTTACTAAAACGGAACGCGCATGTGATACTCTTTTTGTCATTGGCCAATTGCGTTGTGTTCCATGGCGTTGAAGATATACAGGGTTTGACAAAAAATAGAACAGCGACTTCCAACCTAAATATATGCCCTCCCAATAGTTATTTTTGCGAAAGTTTCACGTTGCATATACAGGGTATGTCCGGAAAGTAATGCAATTTTTTTTGGGCGGGTAGTAAAAATGGCCGCACAGCGTTCCGGCCGGTTGGATTAGGTGGGGGGGGGTTTTCAGCTTTAAAGCGATACCTGCACCAGTCTGCTCCAATTCCATCGCGTTTCGTGACACACGTACTAAACAGGGATGCACGGGAACAGCGATCCTGGAGCTCCAACTGCTCGAAGCAGACTGGTGCAGGTATCGCTTTAAAGCTGAAAGCCCCCCCCACCTAATCCAACCGGCCGGAACGCTGTGCGGCCATTTTTACTACCCGCCCAAAAAAAATTGCATTACTTTCCGGACATACCCTGTATGAGTACGTTTCCAACGTATGCCTCAAACTTCACCTAAATGTGTCGTTTCGAAGCAGTTCCATCAGCATTTATTGACAATAAGTTGGACATTGAGGATGAACAAGACCCCCTGCTGGTAGTGGAGTGGAGGACACACTACACGTATTCATACTTGATGCAGGACACCAATGCTGAAATGAAAGCTTTTGTCACAATGGGAAGTACGACTTCAAATATAATACGTTTTTACCTCGTCAATAGAGCTACTTATGACGAGTGTTTAAAACACAGTTGCTTCAAATTGTATGATTTAATTGGAGCATATGCTTGAAATGCACCAGTCATAGCAAACAAGGTGAAATTAAGAAAAATATAATAGCAATTTCCTTTATTGTACTATAGTCAGTCATGTTTGAAAATACATTGTCCGTGCTATGGCTAAATTATGATGGCATTTCTCATATACTTAATTATGGCCTTAGAAAGAATAAGTTGGATAGGGTTCTTCGTGGTGTTCGATGAGATTCATTTTTATGTCTCTCCTGGCAAAATGTGGACTTTGATGGGACAGCATCCTTACCGTTGTCGTTGTTTGTACACGTAAAGTCGACCAGTCTGAGTGATTGATAGGATTAATCAATATTGGCAACCGCAAAATTATTGTATTGAGCAATATTGAGCAGAGGCAAATAAAAAAACGCATCTTACCCAAAATGCAATACGTTTCGCCAATTGTCAGTATCTTAAGAACAAGACCGTTTGAATGAAAACCAAATGGGAAATGGCAGCTAACATATTACAATACCTTTCTCCATCTCGTCGGCGAGTTGGCTATGGCCAAGTTCACGCAGAATGTTGAGGAAGCATGGGACGCACAGTCTCCGCGTGTTGGCAATTCCTTCTGTAGAAACCTCACCTGATGTACTTTTGACTTTTCCCTCGCTTCTTCAGTTTCCAGATATCTGAAAATTTCCTCTTCGCGCAATTTTGCCAAAATGTCTCCTATTGGAAGCTTTTCCAACTTCTCTGTAAATTTCGAAAGTATGATTGCAGGCTCAATGGTGAAGAATCACCACCCAGTGGAAAACAAAATATCTCGAAAACGAGCGAAGGACAAAGTGGCCAGAATTATCTGAACCTCGGGCAAAGTCGCTGGAACGGTTCACTTCACATAGATATTGATAAGACTTGCAGGTCTTTCCTTGTTCACTATTATCAAGATAAGGTGCCATGGAGTGGCTCGTTTCCAGCTAACGTGACTCACCATGATGATCCCCTCCCTGCATATCACTCCTCTCGTTTTTTTTTTCCCTAGCAAATACAAACACGTTTATGATCCTTAACTTTAGAGAGCGTCATCAGAAAGTGACTCATCTGGACCGCTCTATCAATGACACCTTTCATGATTGAATGCTTTCCTCTTTAGGTGGATACTGCCTTCATTGTCACGAGATCGTTTATTGGCATCATGATATTCCAGCGTCTGTTTTTGCTGTCCTTGATCTCTAACTTTAGGAATAAGTGAACTTGAAGGGTCATTGAACAACCTACTTGTTCCAGATTAGGCGCTATGCTAAGACCAATAACCACTAATCCATTATCCAGGTCCTTTATCAGACTCATCTATAACGGTCGCAAATTAATCATGGCTGGGAAAACCGGCAAAATTGTATACTATAGCAAAATACGGACCATTAAAAAAAGCATTCAACACATAGTATAGGTATGTACTTTTTAGCTGGCACATTAAACTTCAAACTCATGGTTCGGATGTCATAGTCTCTATTAGAGGAGAAAGACAGTTTATCTCTGGCATCCCTGAATATCCCTGGCGAATCTGTTGACAGCATTTTATATTGTCGTTAATAAGAAAAAATAAGAATTGGGCCATTCCATACCGTACGACTGAGGGATGACGCTTGACCACCTTAGAAAAAGTTTTCAAGGTAACAGGTATTATATGAAACTCCAAAATCCATAATGTTTTATTTTTCTTTCCCATGGTAAAATATATATGAACTTTGAAACTATCGGTTTTCAAGCACGTGTGACCCCTCGGGCGAATTTCATAGCTCTCAAACAACACAAGCTAAAAATGCGTGTTATGGCTCATATGGAACGTATGAAATAGAAGAATCCAATTATTACCAAGAAAATAATGGTTTCATGATACCTGAATTGCCGGTCTTTTTCAAAGTGTACTACTTTTTTATTTCACCACCCTATTTTATGTTCTGGATGTCAACATAATAAAACCAAATTGCAACGCTAAGAATCCACCTATGGTTAGGTTTTATGAAATAAGTAATTCTTTTTTTCATTCCCATAAGTCGAAAATGAAAGTATATCTCATGTTTTGTGATTTCAGCGAATTTTGACCACATTTCTTACGATGTGGGAATTCATATAAAAATGTATAATGTAAGAGCATTCCAAGATATACGCCATGGTACGAGTTTTATTCTGTTACAGTCATGTATCGCAGTAAAAAGCATTTTCTCATGCTGCTTGTTTGTGACTTTGGCCCTGTTCAGTATGGCCTCCTATGAAAACTGTTTCAACTACTTAATTTCTATTGTATTATTTTTTCATTGCATTATTTTTGTGGTGTTTATTTATTCTAACACATATAGACGATCGTGACTGGGTAAACAAGTAGCTGTTGGGTTGTAGGGTTCAGAAATAATCCGACTTTTGAGGTGTATGTCCTCAGGTCATCCAATTTGGGGAGAGATGTTTTCAAAGATATATACATGCTTCAGTCAAATGGAGAGACATGGATAGCTTTAACTTGGCAAGAACGTGACTACTGACACACTGAATTCACGTTAAGTTTCCAATACATTTTCTGGGGGTATACAAGGGTATTTCTTGGGGGTGAGGTTTTCAAATGAATTTTTTCATGCAGTGAATAATGCAGAAATAAAAAGTAGAACCTGGCACATCCGTAATGAACGTGATGGAATAATTCAACTTTTTTGGTGCGTCCCCTTGGGGCACAACTTTAGGGTGGGTGATTTTCCAAATATACCGTGGAGGGTGTACCAAAATTAATGGAACAATTACAATTTCCTTATTTAATTAACTGGACCAGATACAATGATGAAATAACATCATGCATTCAAAGAAGCACCAAGTTTCCCGGTGACATATCGTAGTTCATTTCCTGGTCGCTGCAGCGCTCTCATCACCCCTACTGTAAAATGGCGTCTCAGCAGCAAAAAGCAGGGTGTTGCTTATGATTTCTTGAATCGAAATCTGTGACTACAGTTCAGCGTCATTTCCAAACATTTGGTGTTGATTCACCTGGCAAGGAGTCAAACAGACGTTGGTGTGACGTCTTCGTGTACCAAAGTTCCGAGTTCAGTGCTGGCTCTTCGGGTTGACTTACATGGACTTTGAACAAACGCTTCTCTGATTTCATCCACTTGTTCACTTGTTGACGGCCGGGCAGAGTTCTTACCTTGACAGACGCAGCCTTTATTCACGAAATCGTCATACCAACGTCTGATCAACTTCTTCTCAGGTGGATCAACACCAATGTGGTATTCAAAACCGAGCATTAACTTATTTCGGAATTATCTCTAATTGGGAATTAACAAATGCTAAAGCTGACCATTATCCTCAATTGCTATTCACAAGCTAATGCTCAGCTTCACATTAGTAAATGCAATACATTAAATTCGATTCAAAGATGAGGAGCCTGTCGCGGTCATCAGGAATCCATTCTTCACGATGGCGTCTATCATTTCGTATGCGTGAATCATCACACAGTGACTTGAACATGACTAACTGAAATCTACCTACTATAACTGAACGTGGCAAGAGGCAACGGCAAACAAGTTCTTCTGTTTATGAAATTATTTATGCTTCAGATTATACAGCCAACCGCCATTCAGAACGAGAAGCAGCACCGTTGAAATAGAAGGACCAGGCCTGGCAGGAAATTTTCGAGGCCTTCAACAATGATGAGAAAGTCACTTGCGGCACCAAGGAAGTTCTGAAGATTGCCCTCGTGAACATTCCTGTGAAGTCGAAAAATAGAGCCGGGAAAAATTGGGAAGGCTCCATAATTTCCTTTGTGCGCGTTTAATAAACCTCCTGATTTAAAAACTTTTTTTTCTTCAGAAAGCATATGAAAACAAGGCAGTTTATTTTAAAAAGGACGGCAGTGAAGACCATCGATGTCTCGAGAGCATGAGATCTCTTTCCTTTTTTTACTCTTGAATTGTCATGCTTGCGAAATGCCCGGCAACTAGTGCTTGTGTTGTTGCAATATCAGAATCATTATCCCTGTTAGGCGATAGGCGATCGAATATAGGCGATCCTACTTTTGGTTCTGACCCTCAGGGTCAGAACTAAACGTAGGATCGCCTAACACCATCTATCAGAAAACACTCACCAGCATTTAGGGCGATGCTGTGAAGAATCACACAAGCAGCGACAATCCTACCCATTTTCTTTAGTTTGTAATGCAGACGACTCATCAAGCATGGAAATATTTTATTGATGATGACAATGGTACTTTCGACAATGCATTAAAAGACATGCATAGCCTTTATCACCCAGAAGAGCCAACCTTTGCCTTTGCCTTTGAGATCGCCATATTCCAACAGCCTTGAATTTGAAAAGATCCTGCTGTCTTGTGTTGGTCAACATGCCACAACACTGCTGATCTTAACCTACTATGACTTGACAATTGACAGTGAGACTTTACTAGCGAATCCTGTACACGCCTGCTTGTGGAAAATGTGTAGGCCTCAAAGACCGGAATGTTTATGTCGTGTGGAGGGGATACAAAATGGGACGTTTAACATTAACTTTAGGCCGAAAGCAAGGGAAATATACTTTACGGACGAGCGGTTAATCGGAGGCAAAAGGAATGGGTCCGGCCTCGCTCCAGACAGGACAAGCCGTCTAAGGAGACTACTGATGACAAATAATAAAGTGGTGTCAAAACAACAAGAAACAATTATTATTTACGCAAAGTTAAATTAAGAAATAAAATAAATATCACAAATTTTAATGGAGGCGTTGAGGAGGACTTGAATTGGTACGGACCACAGCAAAGTATGTCACACAAGATGGGGAGGGCAAGAATGACTTGAGACAACAGACCAGAGATAGTAGGCATGGCTGACGAGAGGGACGAACTCACACGACCGACGACACAGGACTGACGGACGGAAGGCATAAGACGGCATGGCCGGAAAGGGGAAGTCACACCCCCAAAAATTAAATGGAGGGCTACGCGGGCCGAATCCTGACATGGGCAGAACCCATGCAGGGCTGCGAACAAAATAATGTCCCGCGGGAGCCACAAGGCTCTATTATGGTTATATTCGAATTTTACTTATTTTTGCTCATACGATATTGAAACCTCCTTTCGTTAGCGGTCCTTCAAGAATACATGGATTTCTATGGGGGAATAAAAGTTTAAAAGTTCCTTTATAGCCCTAAAATGAGGTTTGTGATTTCGGGCCTTAATATTTACATTGGTGCCATCTATTATTCCTTCACTCCTGAGAGGTCTGCAATTGTTTTAAACTTGAACTTCACCTCCTCCAAATTGTCTGGAAATTTGACAGTTTCTTGGCAGAGAGACAGAATGACCTTGAGAAAGCGGTTCACGGTCCTTGGCACTGTTGCTCGTGACACATGTAAGAGGTCCCTTGCAATAATCTGGAATGATCCTCCTGCCAAAAAAAGCAACCAACAAAGCACTCGCAACAGTGGAGATAGTGCTGAACCATTGTGGGTATCAAGTTCCAGATTGGACGGAATTTTTGCTGTCAGATCCAGGACAGTTATCTTACATAGCTATAGCCCTAGATGAAATCTTTGCTTGATGTTTGCCTCGGAGCCTAGAGTTAAGGGATCTTGCTTGTCACGAAGTAGGGCCCATGGGATTCTCCAAAAATTCATTTTGACAATATCCCTATTTGCTTTCACTTAGAAAAATAGTCACTGCCATGCTGAAATATACGCCTCTCGCACGCGTCACGACTGGCGACATTAAAGTTGATTATATCCAAATTAAGCTCGTATTAAAAAGTTTATTCCGATAATGCCCAGCTTCTGTTAATGTTTGTTTGTGAAAGCAACAGCCATTACATTTCGCATTTGAACGCCGAACTAGGCGTTTAAATTCCCAATTAGTGCTAATGTTGGTTTGCTAATACCACCCAACATGTTGTTCGGAAGTGACGCTGAACTGTAGACACAGATTTCGATTAGATATTTGGTGAGATATTCGACTTTCATTTTCGACTTGTTGGAATGAAACGAATACAAATCTTAAAACTGAGCCAGAAGTGTACTCTTAGCGTTGCCGTTTAGGTTTTATGTTGACTTCCACAACATATAATGGGTGGTGAAATAATATTAGCACACTTTGAAAGAGACATGCAATTCGTGTTTCATGAAGCGCTTACTTGCGTGGTAATAATTGGATTCTACTAATTCAGATATTTTATATGAACCATTACACGCATTTCTAGTTGGCATTATTTGAGTTAAGAAGTTCGCCTGAAGGGTCACCCGTGCCTGAAAACCGGTATTTTCAAAAGTCATATCCGCTTTTCCAATGGAAAGGAAAACCGTTTCGGATTTTTGAGTTTCATTTAAGACCTGTTAGCCTTGAAAACATTCAATTTGTATTAGGTAGTCGAGCGTCATCGCTCGGTGAGTTGGTATGGAATGTCCCAATAGTGTAAATAGGGATTCCTCAGAATTCCTATCATGGCAATATTGGAACAGGAAAATATGCAGATAGATTTGTAAATGCATTACATGAGGATGGGTCTTCATACGTGTTAAATGGCCTCAGCATTAGCCTGCACTCTAACAAAACCTTAATACTGCAAGCAGAAAATTTTATTTTTGTCCTCAGCATCGGAATCAGTTCGATATATGTTCACGCATCGCAGAGTACTGTTACGAGATGGAGCAAACGTCACAAGAAAATAGCGCCCAAAATCTTCCTGCACCCCAGTTACACAGAACCTTTAGGAAAAGGAGTATACGACTGCTATTCGATGTTGCTTCTACCCCTGATTCATGGTGAATAAAACTGCTTTGAATGGATGGACAATCTAAGAAAACATGATTAAATTTAACTTAGTTGTTCAGGTACAAGGAGCATTCAGAATGTCCTGGAAATTTCTTCATAATTTCTGGGTAACGTCTTTTCTCATCATCAAAATACCGTAAAATTTTAGCATAGTCCCCCCTGAGTTCGACTCACTTCTTTCAGCCTGGAATAAGTTTCCTTAGACAGTCTGGAAACAATTTCTTTAGAGTGTTTCTGATGCACCTGTAGAGTGCAGCTTTCATTGCATTGAGGGAATCAAAACGCACTCCTCGCAGAGGCTTCTTCATCACGCCGACGGTGGTAGTCACTGTGAGCCAGATCTGGTGAGTTGGGCAAATACGGGAGCAATTCCCACCTTAATTCTGTCATAGCTGCTCTTGATTAGCGCATAGCGTGGGACCTTGGATTGTCCTGTTGAAGAAGTGGCCGTGATTGCAACTTCCCAGGGCGTTTTTCAATAAGAGTCTGTCGGGGATGGCCCAAATGCAGATTAGAACAGTATTCTGCATTCATTGTGGTACCTTTGGTCGGTAGTCTATCATTATTATCCCATTGCAATTCCAGGAAACCATAATTTTAACCTTCGCGAAGAGGGAACAGTTCTAGCCTTCAAAGGAGGCCCTTCTTCAGATCGGCGCAACTCCTAAGATTGCGATTTGGTCTGGGGATTGACGTTGGGAAGCCAATTCTTATATACAATGATAAGAGGGTCGAAAAAAACTCTCCTTGTATAATAGGTTGAAGCAGATCTGGACACGTTTTCATGCGATCGACTTTTGCTCAGGCACCAACACATCCCATCTGGCAGAATCCTGCATCAGACTGAGATGTTCGTTGAGAAGCTCATGAGCCATGACCCCCAGGGTAGTAGCAAGCTCCCGAACGGTAACTCGTCGATCTTTCATTATAATATTTTCCGCAGAGTAAATTTTCCCACCAATTTGTCGCCATTTTAAGGTGTCCGCTGCGATTCTTGTCTTATAATGTCTGCCGACTGTCCTTAAATCGCCCAGCCATCGGTAAACGGTATTCTTCGATTCTGCAGATTCTCCAAAGAGAGCCTGCAGTCTCTGAACAATCTGAAAGCGCGTGCACCTTCTCTCCTCAGAAAGAAAATTATCGCCCTCTGAGCTTTCACCGCGTCTTACCCGGCTTCCAGAAATGCAACTAAACTGAAACGAATGAATCAAATCAAGGGAGTTCCTTTGCTTCGAAAAATAAAATGCACTCCTCAGCTCCCACCCCTCACCAAAAGCCCTAATTTCCACACGCAGAAATGAACTCTAAAGTGGGGGAAAAGTGTCCGTATACTAATTCTTTGCTCTCCACAATATTATTTTAACTCTATGTGTACCCTGTAATGCAATAGTAAGAAAGTTTTCCTCCAACTATCTCCTGATTTTATTGACGATCTCGAGATGTCATGAGCCACATCCATACTCCATTCTGGTTGGAAATGGAAAATGACAAATTTGGAAGTGCTTTTCAGAAGCAACCTGCAGAACCTGTAGAACCTGATGAAAGTTTCCATAAGAACTCTGGAGGACAAAACAACGAACGGACAAAACTAAGCCCATTACAGTGGTTTAAGAGGGAAATTTTTCGTAAATCCCACATCGTGTAAATGTTTTAGCGTGAATTGATGGCAATGAAGGACGATATCGAGGATTCCTGGGATGCAGTCTCTCAAATATAATGCAGCTTTCCATCGGATATACACGTAACTGGGATAATATAAGTATTATTTCCAATAATCGACTCTTAGTATGCCTCATGGAATCTCTCATTTCTTTCACCCTTCCACAAATCAATATTGGTCCAATACTGATGTGCAGTCAATAAGAGTGTTTTATGTAGTTTCACAAATGCAGGCAGGGAAAATACGACAACCTACAATTACCCTCTCTAGTGATCAGAGTGGCCAATATTCGTTATTATGTGATCCTAGATATTGCTTGCATTCATTTACCAATCAGTGTGCATAGTTCATTAGGGTTTATTCTGTGTAACAAGTGGCGTTTGGTTTTGCGAATCGGTAGCTTAAAATGATGGCGACAAAGCCTAAACTAGTATAAAAATGAAGCTTATTTGTTATATCAACTCATACAAATTCCTCTGCAATTCTACAGTCGGACATTTGGCATATATGGTTTTGTTGAAGGTCACAATGAACCAAATATAGAAACTTTCAGGACGAGAACAAAACGGAAAATACGGAAATACTTTTATTCTGCTTCATAGATCCTATGTGCAGCCGGAAACTCAGGGCATTAACCTGAACACCTCCTACGGAACAAGAAAGTCCTAAATTCATCTGAGGAATATTTGGAAAGTCACAGGGAAACTCCCATATGAAAGACAGGTAGCTTCCAATGAAAATGTACTGAAGACACCATGCAGAGGAGATGGAGAGGACGTGATAGCCTGGGATTTTCTTAAATAGGCCAAATGGAGATAGGGTAATTTGGGGGAATATGGCCCTACAAAATGAAACCTGGTCATCACGGTCCATCAAGGCTGAATTTGACTTTTACAATTCTTTGAAAATATTGAGTGATATCTCCTTTGCTAAATGCCTGCAAGGCATGCAAAACAGCCAATGCTTATGGCGCCTTTGGGTCTCTTTCGAGCAAGTCTCAAGAGGCCATATTAGCCATATAGTTGGAGGAATATGGCCACTTCTGAAAAAACAACTCCAGGATGTCCAGGAACGTGTGAAATATGCTGTAACATGCTGAGTACCTTGAAACATGATAAAGGACTCACAGCAGTTGAAAAAGAAGCACTAACTGCACCGAGAACAAAGAAGTTTACATGATTCCCTGACTCGAGGAACCGTTGTGGAAAGCAGGATTGCAACGCTTTTGCTTTGCTAGAGACTGTGTGTGTGTAAGAGGTGTGGTCAAGCACAGGCTAAAGTGACCATGCGCTACGAGTGTAAAATAAGTGGTCTTAAATTGCATGGAAAATGTTGCGTAGTTTTTGCATGCATGGATAAATGGCAAAAAAATCACAGAATGCCCTATTTGTACAAGGGAAATTTACTTGCCTTCAACAAAAATTTCTGGAGAATGCCAAGCGATGCAGGAGGTGCATCAGGATATCCTCATGCACGGCCTCCTCGTGTACTGCAAATTTAGTTCAGATCACCAGTAAGTCTATCCATATATCCAGAGGAGGTGCGTTGGATGATCATTTCCAGCCAGAGATCCCACACGAAAGGAAGCTGACATTATCAATAGAACTGTGCGTGCTAACATGTAATGAAGGATGTCCCCAAATCGAGATGGCCATATTCCCCCATATTGGCTCGCATTACAAAATTTACAACACTGCCTGCAAACTGCAACTAAAGGGTTTAGCACTTTGCGCAAGCATTCTGGAGAGACCATGGAATAACTTAGAAGAAATGGTTTCTGTATCCATGCTGCTATTAGGAAATATACGCTTAAGTTGTTCAAGGTTCATATTAGTTTTAGGGTCATGAGTCAAATAATCGCATGCATATGACTTTCAAGACATCAATATATCCGAATTCTAGTGAGAACTGGATCAATGAGCAGGTCTAAACATTTCGACAACTGCATGTACTCTTCGATAGAACTATTTTAAAAATTCGCTCAAACTAACTATTCAGTCTCTCAGGGGATTCTTTGTGATGGGCCATATTACCCCAATGGCCATATTCTCTCAAGTTATCCTATGGAAAATCTACTTTTTTCTTATCAAGTACTACTGTCACGAAACTTTGCGCATCAAATTGGGCAGCATCGTCACCGGATCCCCTTCATCTGCGAAGAAGGAGAATCATCTTCAGGGAATTCATTTCCATCATAGATGATGAGTGAAACACATCCCCTGGACATATTAATATGTTCCCCATTTCTTAAGAGAAGCTCAGAAATGCGATGAGGGATTTCGGAAACCTTGGCCATTTGCTCCCGACCCCCAGGCCAGAGTAGACCTCTTTCGGCCGATTTCCCTTCTCCCATCGAGGGATTCCGGAGCCTTCTCCTAAGCAATACGAAGGAAAAATTACAGGGAACTCTTTCTGTGGTGTCAGGAAGAGAATCGCGGAATATATGGCTACACTATATCTCGTATCGATTGGTAGAGTTACAGCAACTCCCTCTGTAGAAGAAACCCCCGAAATGTTTCATTGTCCTACAATACCTAAGAAGTGCCTTTTTTAATACCAAATGTCGTAGAGACCAGACAGGTACCTTCCGCAGACATTTTCATCATATTTTGAATCGGATTTCCCCAGTAAAATCACAGGAAATGTCAGTGTCTTTGGATCAATGAATCAAGAAAAATCTGCGATGCCATTTTGAACATTTGAGTTCATCAAAATTTCCTGAGTTTTTACGAACATAATATAAAAGTTCCGATTAGTTTTAGTGACCTGCATTTTTGAATTTGAAAACAGTGGTACCAACTTGCGAACGACAGGAAATGATAATCACAGCATGCATGGAGCAATCACATTTAGCATTCATTTCCATAATGTTGCACTGAATTTGTTGCCATCATGGACGAAAATAAAAAAGATATACAATAGAAGAGAAGAAAGAGATAGAAATAAAAAGAGAGAGATCCACAAGTGGATTCTGCAAGTGTTGTCCGACCAATCCTCAGCCTACACACGGGCAAATGCACCAGAAAATGAGTTAAACCACAATGAAGCATATTTCTCTCAATGTTGCAGGATTATCATATATGGGGAGCAAAAATGTATTTAGCAGGTAATCAAAATACCTTCCAAGAAATCCCTGACATCCTTCCTGTCTATGTCAGTGAGAGCCTTGAGGAAAACGGGGTAGTATAGTTGTGGATTCTTGCATATGAGAATGTCAAAGAGCTCATCAAATTGCTGTTTGGGGGTTGGTTTCCCACGTATCTGCTGCCCCTCGATGAGCGTGAAGACGCCCTTGTCGCTCAAACTACGAAGCAACTCCTGGAAGTCCAAGTTAAACTCATCCCGTAGCCTCATACGGTTCTCTCTGATCCTGTCCCATGTTGTCTGTGAAGAAAGAACAAGTCACATGAATACAATGCATATTATCACCATAAAAAACTCCTCCTATCCCGTATCCCCTTATTTCTGCAATCACAAAACAAATAGGATATCTTTTTTATGAAATGGGAGTCATTTTCCAATGGATTCATAGAACTTGTGTTTCAGAATTACGATATGGTTAAACGAAAGTGCAGTATATGTCTTCATGAAGCTGAGTTCTACCGTCACGCTTATAGAAGTTACAGAAAAACGAAATCATCCCCCCAAACATGTTACTGGACAGGTTAGGTTTCACAATAAATGGAAATATTTTCAAGGAAATCAGAAAATACTGCTGTGAATTACATCATTTTGTAAAATTTGCAAATATAATGAAGTCTTGCAGCCGGTATCACACGAGATGTCGCGTACGTCGGTGACCACGGCATAACGAACATTAATTGGTACGGAGCGCCCCTCGTGCCGGTTTACTTCTACAGAACCAAGGCAAGAGCAATATACGTATTTTGCGGGTAGGAAAACAACTGCATCAATAGTTACGTGGTAGAATATTTTATTTTAGTTCACAACTTAGCTAATTATAGAAAATCCATGTCGCGTCTATTTTAAAATTATTAAAGAAAATTTGTTTTGCAACCATGTCTGTTATCGAGCAAATTTTCCCATTTCCTTGTTCTCATAACATACTTGCCCTGACGAGGGTTATTCTAGGGTAAATGCAACTTGTATCTCAACTATGCAAATAAAAATGCCAATTTTAATTGCGATCAGGGCGGGAGAAAATGAATTATAGTTGGAGTGTGAAACTGGAAGCTATGTATGGTGCACCATACACAACACGCATTCAGACATTCGAGTGATTATGTGAAGCTCTTATTTCCTTATTGAAAATATTTGTAAGTAAAAGGTTGGAGAGCACCTTTCTCACAAAAGGAAACAAAATTTGCAAAATGAATGTCATTCCAAGTTAGTTCTTTTTTTAATAGAGAAATTGACTCATTTTGCGATGTCTCTGTTGATAACCAGTACACACTGAACTGGGGAAGTACAGTATTGAGGTTTATGGTGACGTTGATAGGTTTTAAATAAAATTGCAATAGATATTACATTTTCCCTTCACGCTTCTTGCATCGAGCTACACTGAAATCTTATTAACATTCAATACATGGTATGATTACACCCCATTTTAGCCTCACATTTATGAGCGAATGGGAGATCAGCTTACCGAAAGGCCAACGGGTTGAGCTGCTGTTACCTGAGATGCCGTCGACGAACCTCCCTCCCATTCTGCGCGAAGACAGGAAGGAGACATGCTATACCATAAAAGTTGAGCGATGTATCCTGCCATTTCGATGTGGACAAAATCCGAGTTGGAAATCATGTAAATATCAATTGCAATCATGTTCTTGACTTATATCCCTTACTGAACCCTATCTACCAATGGCTTCGGATGAATACATTTTTATTGTGTCTAATAAGTCCGGTATCACCTTTGAAGGTGTTTTCACTGAAGATGCAAGCACTGACGGATAAAATCCAATGTAAGAAACCAAAAGATTTTGCCCTACGGAGACATAATCCACTCCCTTCATCCCTCAGAGTTAGAATGCGTCTGACTCTCCAGAGACATTCAACTTTCATGTTCCGTTGTATGTTTCTGGCTTGCATGTCTTTACTGCATTTCTAGCGTTTCTTGAAATAAGTTCCACCTCCAATTATATTCGTTAAACGTCAAAAAGGTGTAAGCAATATTTTTTTATGATCCAAGGTTTATTTGAGATCGAACAACTCCACCAAAATATGTTCAGCAGTTGAACCTTAGCCAAGAACGACGTATAGAGAAAACTACCACAAAAAACCATATATATGGTTGAGTGGAAATGTATGGAAGGGAAAGTGCACATGAAAAGTAATGTTCCCGAAGGAAGTCAGAAATAACCCCAATATTGAATTTGACGCTGACTCAATATGTGGTCATGAGGCATGCCTGCAATAGCTGAACTTTCTTTACAAACGTTGGGAACACATAGCACATTTGAGAATGAAATATTCAAGGTCTGACAAGAAGGATCAATGACTTTATACATTAATACCGCAGGAGCAAGATTTGCAAAATGTCACTATGGATATATGAACATGTTTCCAACTTATTCTCAAGTTTCATGCAAATTTGTTGGGTCAAAGTAATACCATCAGCAATTATTGAATAAAAAGACATTGAGAAAGGAAAAAAGCTCCTGTTGATGAGGGAGTGGAAAATACATAACTCACAAAATATGCTGTGAATTAAGAATGTCTTTGCTTATTTGAAAGTTAACAAGGCTCCCAAAATCCTTTACTTCAAATCGAAGTTTGAAATGGTACATGACAAATCTGACACATGAAATTATTTAGAGAACCGAGATACATTTTGAATAACTTAACGAAGTCTCTCTTGAGTGATACATATTGTTGATTCACCAGCTATTCATTGGAAATAAGCTCAAGAAAACTATCTGCAAGAGACGAATGGTCCAAATAATGAATTTAAGAGGAAGAAGAGTTAGATAAGGTATTGATAACCAGGAGGGATAGCGCTTGAGTAATTCCTTCACCCCAGTACCAGGAGGAGGTCTTGTCCATTTTCCATATGACTTTTTTCAGTATTTGCAGATTGTATCTCTTCGACCAAACTAATTGATAATTTTATTTTATGGAAGTTTGAGAATCAGTTGGAAAGTCGTTCAAATATATATAGCAAAAGTTGGGCAAGAATGGCTACATTGGTAGCTGAAATATTTATGATTAAATGGCTTTGGTCTTTTTTGTCTTAAACTGTACAGTAGTCGTTGCGTTGGCCCAAAGTGAGTGGGCTATCTGGAATAGTGTCTTTAAAGGACTTTAAAGAAAACGAAAGTGATATCAAGTTCTATCCAATATCATTTCATAAGGATCCATTATGGCGCCATAAACATGTTGTTCAAGATTTTATTCAATCCGGATAAAAATATGAGAGATGAAAATACCAACAATACGAAAAATACTTACTATTGCGGACTTCCTTAGCGAAAGCCTCATCTTCCATCTCCAGAGTCCTTAGTAATGCCTCTGCCAAGTCTTTGTACCTCGCCTTGAGGCACTCTAGTAATGCTATGAAAGCGTTATCACCGGCACTGATGATCTTCTCGTGTAGAAACAAGACCTGTTTTTTCTTTCTTCCGCTGGTCTCCTTCATCATCTCGTGATATTCATCATTCTCGATTATTTTTTTCCTCTTCAAGCATAAGAAAATCTCCTCTAGGTCGGTGTATTGTTGAAATGTATTTTTGTGTTCGTCCAAGGCAGCAGATATTGCATCACCATGAGTGGTCATGGCGTCTCAGTGTGGCTACCGGAGCAGTGTTGGTCTCCTGCAACCAAAAATGGTCTCTCATCAGGTTTATATAATTACCTGCGTCATGAAATCAAAAAACATTCCAGGTGGAGATTCTCGTAAATATATTCTGCCAATAATAAATCCTGATTTAAACTTTGCATTTTCTCGACTGTAACGCTGTGAGTCGAATTTTTAATTCATTTCCATGTTCAATTTTCACGAGTTTCAGAAAGCTTTACTTCTCTCAGGTTGCTTCCGGCATGATGAGCAAAGGCTTACTATATACACTGTGTCACTTGTTGACGTTTCAAAAATGCTCTGCTATATACCCTAAATCAAATATAGGAATTGTGGCGATTTCACCCATCAAGCTTCATCACAAAGATTATTCCTTTATACAGGACATCCTATAGGAAAAAGTAAATAATTTGTTATTTTTCAGTAAGCGGGGCAGCTAGGGTACTGTTAGTTTCCCATCGAAAATTCCCTCTTGGGAATTTTTTCCTGAAACTTGGTACACATTTTTGGGGTGCAGAGTTCAGAAAAAAATCCGAATTTGGAGGTACATCCCCTGGGGGTACACATTTTGGGGGTAGAAGTTTTTTTTACATATACGTCGTGATGGACAGCAAAATTTCGTGAGGCCAAGGTTCAATTCCCTCCCATGCCTTTTTTTTGGCTTCTCTTGCCTTCCATGCCCCGTTGCTTGAATATAACGGAGAGACATGGAAAGCTGAAACGTGGCATGGACGTGTCTACCGACACGATGAGTTCAATAAAAAAAAGTGCAAAATTTTATATCCATGCACTGGGGGAATATTCTTGGTGGCCGACGTTTTCAAGTATTTTTTTTGTCCTGGTGTATTGAGCTAGTGTGGAAAGATGAAATTTGGTACATAATTACCTATCGGGATGCTGCGTGCAAAAAAATTCAGACTCTGGAATGAAATGCCCTGGGGCATAAGTTTCAAAGGGAGATGTTTTCACAATTTTTTGCATTACTTAAACCGATGGACATGGAAAACTGGAACTTTGGATGAATGTGACTACCAAGATAAGGAGTTAGAGAAAAATGTTAAGTCTTGATACATCCCCTGGGGAAAATTTCTCGAGGGTCGATGTTTAAAAAAAAGAAATTGTCGTGGCGAATCGGACAGTAAAAGAAAGGTGAAACTTGGCACACATATATGTGACATGGTATTATTGAGTTGAGGGAGTATTCAGCTTTCATGGTGCATCCCCTCCGGGCATAACTTTTTGGTGGGTCGGCATTTCCAAACATGATTTTTCACCAGCGAAAAGGGCAAACGTATAATATTGAAACTTTGTGGGCATGTAATTCACTGAGGTTTCATTTCGATAAAAATGGTACTTTCCGGTTAAAACGCCCGAGGGCACGCATTTCGCAAATTTTCCTGAATTTTCTGATCCAGCAAAACGGAGGGTGCTAGAAAGTTTAAACTTGGAAAAGAAGTACCTGATGAATAGCTGAGTAAAGAAACAATTCTACTTTCACATTATATATAGGTGATTGCGAGTAGCTGACTGACTGACATAAGTAGCTATTCACATGCTGAATTCCGGAAAAATTTTCTTTTGTGATGCACGCCAGAGGGGCACACGTTTTCTGGGAACATACTTTCAAATAGTTCTCTTTGCTTCAATTAAACGGAGACCCTTGGAAAGCTGTAACATGACAAGAACGTGACTGGTGAAGCACACAGCTCAAATGTCAAATGTCGAATTTCCGAATTTTTTTTTTTTTTTTTGGGGGGGGGCATATTTCTTGGGGACGTAACGTTTCCAAATAATTTTTCACATCCTACCGAATCGGGCAGAAATAGAAAATAGCTGGAGCACGCATAACAGCCGTGATGTTAATTTAAGGAAAAAGTCAACTATTGTTGTGCGTCTCCTGAGAGCGCAGGTTTTCGGTGGGCCGTTTTTCCAAAAGCATTTTTTTCTGCCAACAAAAAGGGGAAACGTATAAGGCTGAAATTTGGTGGCATGGAGTTCACTGAGTCTACATTTCCGAATAAAGAAAGTTTTCGTTAAAACCTAACAAGGCATTTTTTCAGTTCCATTTTCCTGAATTTGTTTTTGATCCAACGAAACAGAAACAGAAAATTTAAACATCCCTCAGAAGTGCCTGTTTGATGGCTGAGCAAAGGAAAAATCCTACTTTTGAAAAATGTCCCCTTAGCTTTGATTATAGGAGGGAAGTATTTCAAAATTTATTCTCCACCTTTAAAAAAAGGGACAAGAAAATATTTCAAGTTAGGCACAATATGAATCATGAGATGGAGAGGACGTGATAGCCTGGGATTTTCTTAAATAGGCCAAATGGAGATAGGGTAATTTGGGGGAATATGGCCCTACAAAATGAAACCTGGTCATCACGGTCCATCAAGGCTGAATTTGACTAGAAAAATCCTACTTTTGAAAAATGTCCCCTTAGCTTTGATTATAGGAGGGAAGTATTTCAAAATTTATTCTCCACCTTTAAAAAAAGGGACAAGAAAATATTTCAAGTTAGGCACAATATGAATCATATAAGTAAATATATTGATAAAAGTCAAGGCTTTTGTCTCCATATATCACGTATTTCAATGGGGACGTACTTTAAATATGTGTTTGCCATTTCGCAAGGAATAAATGAATTAATGACTCTCCAGAGTAATGGAGCGCCGAAGGCGCAACCGTAGCGAGTTTGTTTGCCCTTCGGGCAAACAAACTAGTATAACAATACTGACTGTTTGACTGACAAGAATGTTTGTCTCCTTGTCCGGGTACCCTTTCACCCCCGCTAATCGGATCCGTTAATCGTAGCTAATTTTCGTTGCTCTGCGACTACGGTAAATGTCGATGAGCTCCGATATCCATTATCCCAAAGAGGAGGGGCCAAGTCCATGGCTCGGTGAAATAGCGCAAAAAATCATGTTCCACGGTCCATACGGTACTCTTTCCACCGATGCCACTGGCATCGACAATGGAGCATGGAAGAATGAGATTTCCTAAAAAAATTTTCTACAGAGACATAAGAAAACTGATGGCTGTCGCTCACTACTGCAGGAGAGAGACAACAGGAGAGTAGCCCGAGTCGGTCGACACGTGTTAAACAACCAATGGCTACGTAAAACCTCTGGCTTCACCTCAATATAACACCCACATCAACGTGGAAGATCTGTGCCTCAATTGATAGGGTGAAATATATTTTCAACCGTTCTTTCTTCTAATAACTTGCGACATTCTACTCAAAAAGTAAGCAAATGAGCTACTTTGAATGCGATAACGCCATCCGGCACGAAAACATGAAGAGCGAATGCATCGTCAGTTCTTCCCAATTTCTTCATGTAGGGTCATTTGACCATCTACCTGCATGTAGGCAATATTCCAATAGGGAATTCACCTTCCGTTACACAGCAGTAACGACCGACATGGGAGAAAGAACCTTCAAGTAAAACTTCGCAGTCATTGGGTGTATCCATGGAATACCCTAGAAAAATTATTCTTCCTCAAAGCAGCATCCCAAGAACAAATCATGCATCAAATTTCAGCCTACTATTATATCTAGAACATACTGTACGTATTTGTCTGCCCGTCACTCACTCCCTCGCTTGCTAACGATCCTTTAAAGGGGGACAGTAAAGAGTTACCTATTAGTTTACTCATTCCTGCCCCAATAAACTCTATAAATGGCAATAAGTTTTACAAAACAGCAAAATTTCAAAGCCCCAGTGGCATCAACAACGCTTGATTAGCGGTAGACAGACAGTGAATTCCGCATCGAAATAGTGTTCCACTACACACAATTAGCAACGGTATTATTAATCAATTTCATAAGGGATCACACATTTCACCATTGTTCTTTCGAACTGATGAAGACTGTAACGTGAGAACTACTTTTGAAAGGTTTTACCGTTTTCCCATCCCTCCATTCATTAGGCATCATGCCAGTTTCCATTTTATGAATGAATCACCGAATTTCTCGATGGAGAGTCCATCTCGTGATCTTTTTCCGTGCATGATGCAACGTTAGGCCTATGTTACTGGCCTATCTCGAGTATCCAGAATATATTAGAAAAGTATGTCTCAGGACAGACTACCTCCGAATTCGTGTCGGACGCCATCATCGGCACTAATGTCCGTGCACGGTGCTTTTGCACTGCATACAATTATTAACCTACATGACATTGACAGGCCGTCGCTAACCACAATATAAATATAATACAGGGTGATCCAAAAGTCTCCATACATTGGGAAAATTAACACTTTTTAACTAAATGTAACTTTATTCACAAAATATGCTCTACATGGTTGCCATTACTTTGAAAACACATACGGATGCGACTCTTCCATTCATGGTGAACTCGCGTTAATACATCTGGCGTCATGCGCGAAATTGCATTCCAAATGCGTTCCTTTAGGTGATTCATGGTCTTCTTTTGACAAAGACATTCTTAAAGGGTATCTGAAAAAAAGAAAAATTATTCGATATGTATCAGATAGAGCATATTTAGAAAATAATGTTACGCTTTTTTTTAAAGTGTTAATTTTCCCTATCTATGGAGACTTTTGGACCACCCTGTATAATCCTTAACTGTAGAACTTTCAGAAGCAGCAGGGCGGCCTACCTACGTCGATTTTTATCGACGGTTGGCAGTTGTAGGGTGAATAGCTCTGTCCACACACGGTCTTTTGTTTTAACAACAGAAGACAGGGGCACCGACACTAGGTAGGGTGAAAGCAGAAGCGGCCATTAAACCGACAGATCTCCTGTCAGATATCTGGCATCGGTGGTGGACGAGAATGGCGCCCGCGCGATAAGGGATAAGATAAGGGACCGTCAATTTCGTTTTCCTCAAGGAAATCGCGCCAACCGCCCACAACGGAAGTGCCACTAGCCTCGCACCTCGCCATATGAGTTCATATATTTAAGATAGCCCAGCCATCTAGTCACTCATGATTCATGATTTATGCTCTGAAGGCCATCCTCTTTTCCTCTCAACCAGAGGAAAATATTGATTCAAAATTGTCATGCAGTGACTTTGCATACAGAGAATGAGATGAACGCCCAAGTTCCTTCTCCCATATTCTCGAGTGGAATACGGGGGGAGGGGGTTGGAATTTTCCAACGGGAAAGGATTGAAGAAAGAGCAGGAAGCTAACGTCTAGGCCTGACCTGGCTATGCTTAGCTAGTCGGTAGACGGAGGCATGCGTGAGTAGAAGAGAGACGAGAAGAACCTGTTTCTTCTCTACACAAGGCACAGAGGCATGACAAGCACAGAGGAACAAATGAGGGAGACGTCATTCCGCTCGGGCAATACAAATGACGCGAGTGGGATGGGGAAAGGCAGGCTTTGATGACTCAAGGACGCAAGGAGACATCTGGTGAGTTCTATTGGATACATTCTTGGACCAGAGAGAGGAAAGATGTGCCCAGTTGAATAGGGTATCGTTGGAATGTGCACGTGGAAGAGCACGGAAACCTGGCCAAAGCCTCCCTCATCTCATCTTAAACACCATCATCCGTATTTTTGGAACATGCGCTCTACCCCCCACCCCCCCACCCATTAAGAAGAGCAACATTATCGATATGGGTTTCTATATAAGTGAAGGATGGCATGCAAATGAAAGAATTGCTAAAATTAGGAGGCCGGTGGTTCCATTTATATGACTCATCGGTAGCATAACTGGGAGCCTGTGGTCGAAACCGACCGCGTCATGCAGCTCTTCCCGAAAAATAGCGCAAGCGGGTTCGCAAATGGAGATCCAATGGAGAAATGCAGAACGTTAAAGACCACCATTTGGGGAAAACATGAACTCATTTAGTGTCTGGGTAGGAGAAGCCATGAACACCAAGAGGGTTTCGATAGGCCTGAGAATACTTGGATCTTGATTCATTATTAGAGGGTCGAGATAGTTAAAGAGGATGAGCTTGAATTCAATTCAATATAAATTATCATAGGGCGAAAGTGAATTAATTGCTAAAGCATTTGTGTTACGGCAACAAAAGCTAGATGTCATGATGTTAAATTTTGCACTTTTATCACTTTTTATCGCTTCCTCACCACAGAATTTGAATCGCAAAAAATTCCTGTTGTTATGGTGAATCTTTCCCACTTCTGGTGCTTAAATCCTTTGAATTAGTCATCTCCAGCATCTACACACATTTTCCGGTGTTTCTCCAGCAGCTGAAAGCATCGCTGATCCTCGTCTTTCGAAATCGCCAGCAGCCGATTCGATTTTGCAAAGCAGCCTCGAATGTTCCCACATCTCCCCCTAAGGGATCGAGAAGAAATTACAGGGAGCCGAGTCCAGCGAGTAAGGCAGGAGACGAAGCACGGCGAAGGTCGGAAATTGCCACTCGTGGAAAAAGCGCTAGACCAAGGCGTTGTCATGCTGCGGGATCCACAATTTGTTTTTGCCTCCTACATTTTCATTCTGAAAATAGGTACGTCCGTGGAGTGCAAGGTATCTCTCCCTTTCTCTCCCTTTTGCTCACGGTGAGGCATGGGCTGCCGTTCGCCGAAAAGGGATCGGATATTGAACGCGAAAGTTCTGGAGCATTGGAGTCTGCAGCGTCAGACATTTTGTTTTCTCATTTAATTTCTTGATATTGAATTTCATAAAATAGTAAGGAATTCCTAATGACGATTAGGAAACTTTATTGCTCTTTCCGTTGGATCGCATAACTATCCTTTGTCTGAAAAAGAGTAGAATATTTACGATGTAGTTGGCCGGAATTGTTTTAATTTTCAATTATAAATATGTTTCTTCGTAAAGTTCCGGATCTAATATTTGCTGCCAAGAATTTGCAACAGCAAATATTTTTGCGGATTGGAAATGCCCACGTCACGAGCCTCACACGGAATACAGGAAAAATGCGTGAATCATAATCCATCATCCGTGAATCATAATCCAACATCTCTGCTCTCACTAATTTTTTTAATTTTTAAGCTGAGCTTGGAATGACCCTTTCTGCCCATTAAATCCGAGTTTCGTTCAAGTTGGCATCGCCAAATGAAAATCGATGAGCCGTCAAACGCCATGCTTGCGATGACTCGGACAGCAACGTAAAGCATAGGGAAATGAGAATAAGCTGAGGGCAGACGCAGTTATGTTCATTTATTCAACTGCCATTTTGTGGAATGAAGCTAATCCGAACCTCACCAGCTGAAACGAGCGAACTTGAATGGGAGAGATATTCCATGTTTTCTTTCCGTTTTCGATATCGAACATTTCCTTGGAATTATTGGTTATTGGCTTGCGCCCGTCGGGAAATAATAGCCATTTTGAATTTGACCGGGGCATGAACTTTTGGCTGAGGAGTGAAAAGGTGCACGAAGTTTCAGTTTCAGCTTCAGTTTTCAAGGATGTCTACCGAGTTGTGAAAAGGGGGTTTTAGCTCTTTCGAAAAATCCGTAAGACAATGAGCTTTTGCGCGGGAAGCGACATCGCGATGGAATGATCTAAATGCCGACACAGCATTCCTTTCATCTTTGGCATCCGTTATCTATCCTGAAATGGATACTCACTCAAAAAAGAAACCCATCGTGGCAGTACGTAGTCCTAGTGTGACCATCAGTACCTTTCGGAAGAAACCGGAATATCACTGAACACGACTGTTCTGCAACGGATTTTCATTTCCCGACATTTTCCGCCCTCCAGACATCCCTGACGTCGTAGAGGTTCCTGCAGCAAACTCATCCCGGAGGCGTCTGACTCGAATGCGCCAATCTCGCGCAAGGGCGGCGATGCGCGGTCAGCCAGGGCGTGGGCCGCCAGGCGATGGGCCGCCAGGCGTTCAACCGTCTTCCTGGGACCGGTCCCAGAACTTCGAGGCGGTATTTTGGTGCACGTTAACATTTATTGCGACTAGGACTCACCAGCTTCCAATCTCCCAACAGCATTATCGCAATCAGACCCTTAGCCCTTTCAGACCTGAATCAAGGACACTATAGATATAATTTTTTTTTGCATTTTGGAGAATTTTTCCCATTCTACTTTACATTTTTGTGCGCTTCGTGCATCTCCGCTTACTGTCGGGCGTTCTCGGCGCCGTGGAGGCCGTTATTTTTCCGTAAAATACTAGATTGCTTAGCTTATCGCTCCTCTTTATGCGCGATTTTGAAGTAGCTTTCGTTTGCTCAGGAACTTTGAAGCGTCACGATGGTTCTGAGTGAATCAGACGAAGCGCCGTTTCAGGCCTTGCGCGAGATGCAGTTGAAGTTGAATGAATGAGTTTCCTAATCGTGGATGACAGCATCAATTTTTCGAATGCTTAAAACATTTATTATGCGAAATTAAATTTTAAAAATTTTAAATTAAAAGTTGCTTAATTTTAAAGTCGATTAAATGCTCTCACCAATGAGTCATTCCGCGTTCCTCTACCCTTACCAGTCCTGAGATATAAGCTGCAAAATTCGGGGAGTTTTTTTTTTTGCCCACCCTATACACACGAATTCCTCCATGTTTCCATTCGATTACAGTGAGCAAAGAAAAGAAAATACAAGAATTAAATACGAGGAAGAAAGCGGGAGTGTGGATGGAACTGACTGATAGGTGAGAAAGAAATGGAGTCACGTGTCACCCGCTTCAAGCTGACAAGTGCCAAATTTGCATTTTCACATCGTCATTCCCTTAGCATGTTCGCCTCCCCTCCGCCTTGGTTGTCATGTGTTCATGTGTTCGGACGTGCCCCGCAAAATGCGGCTTCAGCGAACGAACTCGAAAGTGCCAGTGTTTCACCGAATCGCCTCTTTATTAACGTCCGCTTGTGCTTAGCCGCATCCTCCTCGACGAGTGCAGCGTGTGTCCGGGCCTCTACTCCCATTAGCGATCTATGGCTTCATATCACGGACCGCCAAAGCTTCTCATTCGACCCATTGAAATGCCTCGAGTGTCTCTCGACCGTTTGTCTTTCGACCACCGCATCATTTTGTGCAGTCCAAAATCTATTAACCTTTGAGGAACACTATTTGCACTAATAGAATGCGAAACTCCACCGAGCGGATTACATTCGAAGCAAAAACGAGAGGCATCACAATTCATATTTAAATTAGTTGTTAATAACACAGTTTGTGCCAAATTAAGCATTATTTTGGTCGCTATTACGTATAATTTTCAACAAATTCAATTATTTATTTATATCCCTCATTGAGTAACCCGTATCATAGTACTGTATTCCTTTTAGATAAATTCGATTTTTTATCACGTATTTTTCCTAATAATAGAAACACTTTGCACGCGAGAAGTTGTGATCTTCCAGAAATAAACGTTCGCAATAATTAGGCATGAGGCAGTTCACTTTTTTTTTAAATTCCTGTTCCTGAAAGGAATGAGGGACAGAAAGCCTTTAAAAAGTACAAGACGTCTAAACGAGGGATGGGCATGCACCTGCCTTGACAGACGATCGGCTAAGATCAAGACTAGGCCATGATCTATTGATGACTGCGCCCTAGCGTTTGGAAATGAGAGGAGAAGGAAATGTAATATCTTCCGCATCGCCCATCGACGGTTAGCAGGCGCGTACGTGAAGGAGACTGCCGTTCATCCATGCATGCGTGCCGCGGTGTCGCAAATATCGTGCTGACTCGGACTCGCGGGATGCATTCGCACCCGCATCTTTTTCCATTTCTCTGAGGTTGGGAGGAACCGTTTCTGCTGCTCAAAGCGCATGACTTGCGAGATAATGTGATTTCAAGTGTGCCAAAATGCGAATGATTGATGCTCCAACGCCAAAGAATTCGTAGAGATTTTTCAAGCAAAATGGTCGATTCAGAACAAGAAACAATTGAGACTTAGTGGCATTTTAAAATTAGGCTTCGGATAAAAAAAATTGCTTCCAGTCCAATAAAATAATATTTTCCTTTATTTCTTATTATTTCTTTTTTTGTGGTAAATTTGAGTTATTATGGCAAATGAAACCTTGAAAGAACGAGACAAGTAATGTCCAATTGATTGAATTACTATCTAGATCCCCTGCTGATAAATAAGAAAATATTTCCAAGATTGTTATATGTTCCACAGCGTTTACAATTTGAACCTCACCATTGCTCCTGTGGGAATCGAAACCCCTGCATATAATTTTCTTATATGTTTAACCAGTTCCTGCAGCCATTTTAAGGTAGTATGATAGTCGTGATTACGGTTGTAATAATTATCAAATTTCATTGCTAAGTTAACTTGGAAACTGTCGGCTTTCTCGATCGTTAACTTTCTTCACTGCTTGGTAACCATACTAGAGGGTTGAAATTAACAATACCGGAAATTGCCGTTGAGGGAGTTTCATAGGTGCTAGAAGGCGAAAGGCGCTTTCGCCTATTA